AGTTATGGACAGAAAACATAAATCTCTTGGGGGGGGGGGAATTTTCAGGTTGACTATTATCTGAGCAAGTTCTGTTTCTTATCAATTTCAGCTGTTACTAGGTGGTACAGTCATTAAGCGAGATAGCATATGATTATACTGAATTATGATGTCAGCTCTGGCTGCAGTCAATAAGTGAATCACTGCAGGTTATTAAGTGTAACTTCCTAATGGCTTCTCCAATGACTTTACTTATCAGACATTGGCTGCGAATGTTGCAAATAGCAATTGTGTTACTTTAGGATGCTGTAAAAGTTGGAAATATATGTGCAAATCACAATCATGTGACCATGGTGAGGCTGTGATGGCCACAATGTCAAGGGCCAGTTACCATATGTGTTGTGGCCCAGCAGGATCCGGTTGAGCTGCTGTTGTCTCGGATAGCGAGGAACCATATGAGTCTGCTCTGGATGATGTGGGGAGGGTTCAGACTCAGAGCAGGGACCAGAGAGTCTGGTTGGCCACCAGGAAGCGCCTGAGGCATGAAGCAGTGGGGAGGATCAAAGGAAGTTTGTCCCTGATGCTTCTGTCTGGGCCTATCAAGGCTCCCACGCAGCCCTTGCACCTGGTCATTGGGGATCAAGAGGAGGCCATCCAGTTTTACATTGCTTTGGGCCTGCATTTCCCCATGGTCCTGGGCTTGGCTTGGCTGCAGGCGCATGACCCCCAGATTTATTGCTCCCAGAACCTGGTCACGTTCCCGTCCCTGCAATGTGTTGGCCACACCCGTCATGTCTGTGCAGGCCAGGTGCTGAGTTTGCCCATGGTGTCCTGGCTGGCGGACTTAGCGGAGTTCACGGACGTCTTCAGCAAGCAGGAGGCAGACCAATTGCTGTTGCACCGGCCTTATGACTGCCCCATTGACTTGGTGCCGGACACGCAACTCCCTGTGGGTCATCTGTACGCCATGTCCGAGCTGGAGTTGGCCGCATTGTGGGACTTTCTGGACAATAACTTCATCCAGGGTTTTAACCGGCCCTCGTCTTCGCCACTGTCTGCCCCAGTCTTGTTCATTAAGAAGAAGACTGGGGATCTGAGACTGTTGTGATTATCGTTGCTTGAATGCGATCACGGTGCGCATTCCCTCTGCCCCTGATTCCTGAGTTTTTGGAGCATCTCCAGGAGGTGACAGTGTTCACAAAACTGGACTTTCGTGGCACCTATAATCTGGTCTGAGTCCCGGGGGGGACGAATGGAAGACTGCCTTCGGCACCCAGTACTAACATCTTGAGTACACAGTCATGGTGTTTGGATTGACCAATGCCCCACCCGTCTTCCAGCATTTTATGAATGATATCTTCTGGTACCTCTTGGACCAGTTTGTCGTCATTTACCTGGATGACATTTTGATTTACTCGGCTTCTCAGGAGGCTCATCAGCAGCACCTACATTTGGTCCTGCAATGACTCCAGGAGCATCGTTTGTACACAAAGCTGGAGAAGTGTCAGTTCTGGCAGACTACCATCGAGTTCCTGGGGGACCGTATCTCCCCTGAAGGAATTGCGATGGAGCAGGGCAAGGTAGAGTCTTTGCGCAGTTGGCAAACTCCTCGGCGAGCAAAGGATGTCCAGCAACTCCTCAGGTTTGCCAACTACTACCAGACCTTCATCCCCAGCTTCACTTCCCTGACCGCGCCCCTCACTCAGTTCCTGCAGAAGAAAGTGCCATTTTGCTGGGGGCCTACGGAGCAACATGCGTTCAAGGCCCTGATGCATGCTTTCATGAAGTAGCCGATTCTGAAGCACCTTGATCCCCATCGTCTGTTTGTGGTGGAGGTGGACACGTCCAACATCGCGGTGGGCACAGTGTTACTGCAGGCTCATGCCCCTGACGGTACCCTTTTCCCTTGCACTTTCTTCTCGCGGAAACTCAATCCTTCTGAGCGCAATTACACCATCTGGGAGAAGGAGTTGCTGGCCATTAAGGTGGCATTTGAGGCCTGGAGGCATCACCTGGAGGGGGCCAGGCATCAAGTCAAGGTCCAGACGGACCATAGGAATCTAGAGTTCCTGAAAACAGCACGCAAGCTGAACCAGCACCAGATCCGGTGGTCTCTGTTCTTTGCCTGGTTCAACTTCCGAGTGACCTACATTCTGAGTGTGCGCAACCAAAGGGCGGATGCCCTGTCCAGTCAACCTGAGTACTCTAGCACTGCAGACCCGCTTCCACCCTGGACAGTTTTGCCCATCAAATCCTTCACTGCAGTTCACAAAGCCGTGGACTTACGGTCTCGGATACCAGATGCGCAGCGGTATGACGAGTGGGTGGAGCAACGGAAGGCAGTGGTAGGGCCGGCCTCCCCGTGGACCTTCGACAATGACCTCTTGAGGTACCAGGACAGGTTCTATGTGCCCACAGGGCCTCTCCAGGGACTTATTCTCTCACATTGCCATGACAATCTGGCGGCAGGACATTTTTGCCTTTTCAAGACTTTGAACCTGGTCTCCGTACCTTTTGGTGGGCCCGCTTATGACACAACATAAAGACGTATGTCACTTCTTGTGTACAGTGTCGGCAGGCCAAGTCAGCGATGGGAGCTCCTCCAGGGTTGCTTCAGCCATTGCCAAACCCACACAGACCCTGGGGAGCCGTGTCCATGGACTTTCTGACGGAATTGCCTTCATCTTTGGGGTTTACCACGGTCCTTGTGGTGGTGGACATGCTCACAAAGATGGCACATTTCATTCCGTGTTGGAGATTGCCAACAGCCCGTACCACCGCCCGCATGTTCATCCAACACATCTTCCGGCTACATGGCCTACCCGATCAGGTCGTGTCGGACCATGGGACACAGTTCGCGGCCCAGTTCTGGAAAGGTCTGATGGAGGCTCTGGAAGTCCACATTTGTTTGTCCTCGGCGCACCATCCTGAAACGGACAGGGGGACGGAGAAGGTGATTGGGATCTTGGAGCACTACCTGCGCTGCTTCATGAATCAGCAACTGAACAACTGGGTGGACTACCTGGCTGTGATGAAGCTTGCATTTAACAACTCACAGCACACCTCCATGCGGCGAGGCCCTTCCAGGCTAACGTCAGGTACCACCCTTGCTACTTTCCTCTTACTCCAGTCGACTCCATGGTCCCCGCAGTGAAAGACATCCTCTCGGAGCTCCAGGGGGTCCACCAAGTGTTGTGCCGCTATCTGACTCAAGCCGAAGAGGTCTACAAGAGGGTGGAGGACAGGTCTCGGCCTGCGGTGCCGGAGATGGTTGTGGGAGACCGTGTATGGTTGTCCATGCGACACCTTCCGTCCCACCGGCCAGCTAAGAAATTGGACCACCGGTACTTTGGGCTGTTCCCGGTGGAGGCCGTCATCAACCCGGTGGCCCATCGCCTGACCTTGCCATGCTCAATGCGAGTGCACCTGGTGTTCCATCGCTCGCTCCTGGTCCCTGAGCAGTCGGCTTGTCCTCTCCATCAACCATCTCCGCCCAGCCGTCACCGCATGAGGCAGAGAAGCAGCTTACACACAAAGTGGTCCAGATTCAGGACTCGAGATGGCTAAAGGGACGATTCCAGTACATGGTGGACTGGAAGGACGATGGGCCGGATGGGGGGGACTTGGGCTGATCCATGCATGCCCCCGCTTTAGTGCGAGCCTACCATGCACAATATCCCTCGAGGATGCACTCCAAGTGTCAGACCCGGTGGAAGGCCCCTGCGGTGAGGGATAGTGTTGTGGCCCAGCAGGATCCAGTTGAGCTGCTGATGGACTGCGATAGCAAGGAACCATATGAGTCTGCTCTGGATGTTGTGGAGGACCCTGGGCAGGGTTCAGACTCAGAGCAGGGACCAAAGAGACTGGTTGGCCACCAGGAGGTGCCTGAGGCATGGAGCAGTGGGGAGGATCAAAGGCAGTTTGTCCCTTGTTCTAGATTGAGAAGGGCTGAAAAACGGAAGCAGCAACTCCGTAGGCAGTCTCACAGGTGGTTGTGGATTGGCCCCTCCCAAGAGAGTTTATAGGTGAGGCGTTGGGAGGGTACATTTGCAGGAAACAACCATTTGAATTAGTAGTGAAGAAAATCTGTCTGTATTCTAACCATGTCTGTTTGTTTGGATTATCTGTGTTGCTTCATTTGAACTATCTGGGTTGCTGCTGAGCTACGCTATTGAAAGTGAGTTGCCTGGGCTCTCAGCCAAAGGATTCGTTATCTCAGTAATTAAACAGTGGCAAACAGCCAAGCCTNGTAAAAATAGCTCATTTGGTCATGTTTCCTGACTGGTTTTCCCCACAAGGCTGACATTTTGTAATCTTTTTATCATAAAGTTTATGATAAAATTCTGCAAGATCACATCAGCCTAAAAGGTCCATTCATTGTTGTTGGACCACAATGGGCATTTTGGAAAATGAAAGACCTGGACTCCATACCTGTCCATCAGAGCAGAAAACCCAGGGTTTGGAGATGTTCATTTTCCCACCCAGGTGTTCACCTTGTCCATATGTCCTTGGCTCATCTCAATCCTTCTCACCTGAATTTTTGCCAGCCAGCTTGTTCATCAGGTAGGACTTGCCCGTGCGATACAGTCCCACGATGGACACCACCACCACCGGATTCCGGATTTCCGAGAGCAACTGAAGGGCCTCCGGGGAAACATGGAGGCCATTTGGTCTGTTTTCAATCAGGCACACCGGAGCCTCCATCCTGGCTTTGGAGAAGGAGATGCAGCTGCAGAGAAGATGTGGCAGCTGCAGAAACTTTCTTCCCAAAGAAGGACTATAAAAGACCCTCCCCCCCACAGGTTCATGACCTCACTGTGACATCAAGCCCACCCAGGTCAGTGAGCACATGGGCTTTGTAATCCCAGATCCCTTCTCAAGCCATCTTCCCCCCAGACTTCAAGGAGCCACTCAGCTGAAGGAAAGCGGGGTCTTCATGGCCAGGCCAGACCCCGATAGCAGATCCAGTCCGAAGGGAGTGATGCATGGGTCCCCAAGTCCCTGAGCTGAAATGGGATCACCATCCCCCCAACTTCCCTGGAGCCCCGTACTCCCTCTGATCCCTGCCCACCTGGGTCTGATATGGTCCCCAATGGTTCTCCAGCCTTTCATTCCCTCCCATCCCCATTTCCAGGGGGCGTCTTTAATTCCCGGATCCCCTGTAACTGCTTGACCAGAAAGGAGACCCATCTAGCTGCTCCCGAGGACTCCAAGTCCAGAAAGCTCTTGCCACTGCAGAGAAGGACCGAAGCCCGGAGGGGAGGTTGGGAAAAGCAGATGCCCCTCTTGGTCTGTCCCCCCTTTTACCGTCTTTCCAAAGAAATCAATGGATTGCTCGCCAACTCTCTTCGCAGCCCTCCGTAGTCTTTTTCTTCCTGCGCTCCTCTCACGNACTAGTTTCTCTCTAATCATTATTTATTAAAATATATTGTATATAGATATAATATAATTAACATATTGCTTAGCTTACCAGTAGATTTCTCCCTTTTCTCTACTGCTAAGAAGATGAAGTGCCATATGTCTCAGTGCTACTGAAAGATTTCTGAAAGAATCCAAAAGTGCCAGATTAATTATAGATGCAATAAGGGTGGGATTGATTGATGAGAGAGAAACTATTTTGAATGTATTGTATTATTTAAAACAAAACTTCTTTTTTCTCTCTTCCTTTTCTCTTTTTCTTATTCTATATTTATTTTTCTTAATCTTTTACCTCATTTCTTAAATTTCTTGTGGTTTCTTATCCCCTTCCATAAAACAAAAAATAATTATTAACAATGTCGTTCGAATAACAGATTTCATTGCCTCAATCCATTTCTGTGTCTGCACAATACCCCAAAATGTAAGCCAGTCAACATTCAATCTAATCAAGCTTAGCATGTGGGAAAATGCAGTGGGTGAGTTTGGAAATTTTGTAGTCAGGGCAGAGGTAGTATTCAGCTGATTCACGCCAGTTCACACTGGTTCACATGAACTGGTAGGGGAAATTTGGCCTGGGTCACCAAACCAGTAGCGATCGCTGGCTGGCCCTGGCACCCGCCCAGTTGCTTGGTCGCTGCTCACTCACCCTGCCCGCCCATCACTTGCTTGCTCACCCGTCCACTCACCTGCTTGCCCAACCTGGCTGCCCGCCACTTGCCCCACCCATCCCAGACCTATATATGTTGCCTTCGGTTGGCCCAGCTAAACACCTCGCCTCTCACCTCTGCACCTTGCCCCTCTCTGCTCAGGTCACAAAAGATATGTAAGCACGCTGCCCACTCGCTCTTTGCCTTGGGTCAGGTGCTGGGGCCCCATCCGCTGAGGCCCTGGAGCTGCCGCCCATGCTGGCCAGGTTGGGAATGCAACATTCCCTAGCTCCGATCTTGCCCTGGAGCTGTTGTCCGCTCGCTACCTGCTCACAACAGAGCTATCCGTGAGAAGGATACTGAAGCTTCTCCAGGGCAGTCTGATCAATGGTCCCCACACTGTTGTAGACAAGGGTGCTGCTCAGTAACATAGCCAAAGAGAAGATCCAGATATCATTTTGGGAATTGCCCTAAAGAGGAAAAAGAATAAGTTATGATCTGTTTCTGANCCACCTTTATCAGGTTTTCCCACCTTCTTTTCCCACCTTCAAAGCAGAACCAACATCCCAGCATCATCTGACAGCTTGTTCACACCTTTACCTGCTATTTCCTTCTCTTTCTCTTGAAGGCTCTTGTCACATTGAAGGATGGTTTTGCTGATGTTTTCCTTGCTCTGGAGGAATTCTTTCAGGATTTTCCCTGCCTGGTTGAAAGGGGAAAAGAGAATAATCAGGAGCAGTATAGAATGAGAAAGAAGTTTTGCCAAAGTAAACCAATCCAAAGTAAACCAACAATCTCCCCGGAGGAGGAGAGTGACAAAATGAGTATTAATTTGGCAACCCTCATCATTTTGTACCATTATTCCTTTCTTAGGTGTCTCCAAAAATTGTTTCTCCACTTTTTGGAGGTCATTTACAAATTCCTGGTGGCCACCATGTCGGAAGTAGCTTCCGTTCTTGATGTTCTGCTCCAAGTTCTCAGAGAGTGAGCTCAATAAAGCTGAACAGGTTTCAGAAGATTCCCGCTCATTTCTGCTGCAGTACTCTTCCTTTTTGCTATTCACAGTTTTCTGTTAGGAATAAAACAAAACAAAGCAAGAGCTGAGACTTGACAAAGAAATCCATGTTAGTACACTGTATAAATTTGGGTGATCTCCTGTGATTAAACAGAGCTTCATCACAATTTGAAATGACTCGTGCTCTTCCTTCAATTAGAGTAGTGTTTCTCAACCTTGGGGGCTTTAAGATGTGTGGACTTCAACTCCCAGAATTACCAGCCAGAATTCTGGGAGGTGAAGTCCACACATCTTAAAGCCCCAAGGTTGAGAAACACTTAACAAAAAGATATTTAATCCTTAGAGCAGGAACATGATTGTCCATAAAAGCTTGATGACATTGCTTGCCATCTTGTCAATCTTACTGGCTGCTCCTAACCGCATCCATCTTGTATCTTTCTGGGCAATCAGGAATGTTTCTAAACAAAATATCTGGTGGCAGCCATCCTCCATTTGATGAAGAAATCTACACAATCTGTGTGAAACTATAACAAAAATACTATGCTTTGTATTCTTAAAAATAGAGAAACTACTGCAGGCCAACCATCAGGAACCATGGGCCTTAAATATTATCTACGTACCCATTCTTATACAGAAGATACTGGACGCCAGGATACCAGATCCCAAGGACCCATAAGCCTTAAATACTGTCTATGAATAGAGGACCTATGGAAAGCTACAAAGAACCAAGACGGGATGGTTGAATATGGCACATGGGTCTGGAGAAAGTTGAGCAGGATGGAAATCTTGAATAAACTTCACATAGATCCAACAAGATCCAGAGACACTCTGGACAAATGGGGCTATCCATTGCCCTTTGCACTTTGCGATTGTGGTGACATGCAGACAGCCACACAGATGTATAGCTGCCCTTCGTGTCCTCATTGGTACACACTTGAGGACCTCATGGCAGTGTGACAAAACAAAATTAATGTTGCTAGTTTCTGAGCAAGATCTATTTAACTTGTACATATTTTAATCAGTGTCAAACTTGATTTCATTGAGGGCTGCATCAGGGTTGTGTGTGACCTGGGGGGGCAGGATGTGTGTGGCCGGCTTCACGTCACTCATGTTGGGGGCGGCTGTGGTGGCCCGAGCACTCTGCCAGGGAAAATGGGCTCACGAACTCAGTTTTTGCTGGTATAGGCACTACG